CTCCCCCTTCCCCCACTGGCTCCGGCAACCACCACGTGAGCCACTGTCTCTTCTGCCATGGCTACAGAATTGGCAGTTTGGTTCCCTTCTGTCGTCAAATTTATGGAGGTAGCTGCGCGTCGCGCAATGACCTGTTCTCATCTGGGTGATGAGACTCTGGTCGCCTCTCTTGAGCGTCCACCAGGGGTCACTCTTGCTCGGTCGTGGCATTTTCCGGCCCAGTGGCTTAACCACTTGTTACGAAAGTGGTCTTCAACCAGGCGGTGACTCCCAGCTGAGTCATCGGCTTATCGGGTTGCGGCTGGGCCGCACCTTCTTTGGCCAAGATGTTCGCCCTGTCGTGCTGCGTTACCTCAACATGCGAAGCAATAACCTGTAGGGTTACTTTGCCGCCTTTGGCTTGAATGCTACCCAACGTCTCCGAAATGGAATTTATCATCGTGGTATCCGTAGAGCCCCATCCCACTTGCTCGAGAGCAGAGCGTGAGTCGGTGAAGACCACGACGTCCGGAAAGTTTTTCCTTTTGCTAGGCGTTGGTGGACTCTCTTGAGAGCAACCAGTATTGTCTCGATCTCCGCTTTGAAACTCGTTCTATTTTTTCCCACTAGGTCGGACAGCTCCTTGGGTGGAGCTATCTCTTTGTGATGCTGGATAAGAGCACCGTGGCCACTTCGTTCTTCCCTTGCGAAGTATGAGCCGTCTGTGTAGACTTTGACCAGGCTGTCTGGGTAAGCATTAATCGTTTTTTTGGACTGCCTCTAGTTGAGGTTCTGGTTGAGGCCTGGCTTTTGTGGCTTCAGTAATCGTCACGACAAGGCGTATTTCAGGTCGGGTGAGGCTTTCGTTGGGTCCCGTGCCAGGATAACTCTTACTTCTTCCCTGCTTTTGAGCAATGCCAAGTCTTCCTCAAGACTTTGGACCATGTCCATACAGGATGGTCTCTTTAATCTGAACTTCGATACCCATTTATCATGTAGCTGGAAGCAAGGTTCCTGTCTGTGAACTCCTCGGTATCGTTCCACTGTCGTTAGGACTGCCTTTTCCCTCCTGATTTCGAGTGGTTCGATGTCCCCCCAGGACTTCTACCGCCGCCGTGGGTGTCATGCGTATCGCTCCCCCCCACCATACAAACCTAAGTGCTCGCTTTTGGTTGCAGTACATGCCGCCTAGAGCTGTGTGGCTACTGAGGTAAAGGGACCCTAATGGTCTTGCGTCAGCGCACCAGTCGGTGCAGGCTAGCTTTTTCACCAAGCCCAATTTTTGTGAAGTTTCGGCATACAGTCGTGTATGTGGTTGTGGAGCTTTTGATCCAGCTTCACTCCCAAATACACTGGAGTCCGATCCCATTTAAGTCTTTACCATTGATGGTTAATTTTGTTGCCACTTTTAGCGTGTTCCTTCTATTCGTAAAATCGAATAAACCGTCCCGTCGGTATTCACAACCATTTTCCATCTGTTCGCAAAGGCTTCAATTCGGTGTAGGTCGTGTTGCAGCCGGATCTGCAAGGTTTTGATTTCTTTTCCCGAGATCCAAATTACTAAATCGTCCACGAACATCGCGTTCTAGGACTCCAATTCCTATTGCAGGTCATACCCAGGGGAAAAGTACCGAGGAAAAGTGTGCAGCGCAGGGCGGACCCCTGCGGGAGTTCATCCTCTAGGACGAGCTAATCGGATATGCTATTGACAACCCGTGGGGCAATAGTCCTGTTTCTCAAGAATTCCTCTACCCATGCGGACATGTTTCCAGAGATTCCCAGTTTCTGGAACTTAAACATGAGGCCTGTGCGCCACAATCGGAGGTCAAAGAACACGGCTACCCTGATTTTTCATTTAGAACTCATTTGTCGTGGACTGAACAAGGCGGATCACCTGATCCATGGGCTGTCGGCCCTTGCAGAACCCACCTTGAGTCGGTGGTAAGCACTTATTTTTCTCCAAAAATCAATAGAGTCTTCCATTCACCATATGTTCTGCTACTTTACTTACACATGATGTGAGGGATATCTGCCTGTAGCTGGTTGGTAAATTGTCTGGTTTTCCATCCTTTGGTATCGTGATGACTATTGCCTTTTTCCACGTCTTCAACAGTATGCCTGTAGTTCAGGTTCGGTTTATGAGAGCTAGCTGTAGTTCTCTCCCCTGTTTACCCAGGTTGGTTAAAATTTCGTTGTGAACCTTATCGGGACCTGGCGATTTTGCATTTCTACACCTGTCTAGTGCGTTTCGCAATTCTTCCATAGTAAAGAGGGACGTGAAAAGCTCTTGATTGGGCTCAATTCATTGGGCACGAGCTCCCTTTTCCTTTAGACTTCAGATTTGCTTGGTGTTTGTCCGTCTCTCTGGCTTTCCTTTTCACTTCAGCGAAGTGTTTATTGGGCGTCTTTGCTCTCTTTGCGTCGCTCGCCTCGACGCCCTTTTCAGATATGCAGTGACTGGGGATTCCTTTCTTTCCCATTCCAGAGAAATTTCCTAACAAGTTCCACACGTTCCGTCTTTCCTCGAGTTTCAAGCTTTTCACAGGCACTGACCCAATTCAATTTTTTAGCTTTTGTGGACTGCCATCCGAAATTCAGCCGTGAGCCGGTTGTAACTTGCAAGAGCAGCAGGCAGGTGTTTTCCGTTTCGCAGCTTGTTTTCGGGCTTTTGCTCTTCGCTTCATAAGGTCTTTCAGGTCTATGTTCCAGTAGGGCCTGACATTTGCTTCCCGTTCGTTCTGGGGACCATTTTCGAGCGACCTTCAAAATGGTTCCATTATACCTCTCGAAGACAGCAACAATGGTGCTCGCCTCGACATCTAACAGACTGAGCCAACCCATCTGGCTTTCCGGAACAGCCAATGTCACTTTTCACACCGTGTTTTAGTCGACCCAAGAGTGATCTCTAGTAGGATGGGAAGATGGTCACTCCCACTTTCGTTCAATACCTCCAGGCGCTGACTGGACGCTAGGTCCGCTGAAATTAGAGTCAGGTCTGGTCGGGACTTTTTGCTTTCCCCGAGATGGAGTAGGGTGGGCACACTCTCTCCGTCCTGTAACCTAATGAGATTCGTCTCGAGGCAGACTTCTTCCCCGTGTTTGCCTGACGCGTTTCGCTCTGGATAGCTCCACATGGGCGACTGGGCGTTGAAATCTCCTGCAATGATTGTCTTAGTGAAGACTCCCCCCCCCCTAGGGAGCGTGATTGGATTGCGAGGAGCATTGTAAACATTCGTCCCGGCGAATGTCTTGCCCAGTTTGGTTCCGTAACCGTTAGGGTATCCGCGTTCGAGTATTTTTTCCCCTCAACGACCTCCACCCTGAGGTCGTTTATTACCGCTGTGGTAATACCACGACACATTCCGCACTTGCAGTGGTAAAGCGAGTAGTCAGTAATGTGAAACGGCTTACCGTGCAGTAAGGGTTTTTGGAATAATGCTACTTCCACTTCAAGTTCGTGGAGCAGCTGGGTTACTTCGTGTGACTTCTGCCTGATCCCACACACATTCAGCTGTAGTACCACCAGAGCTTGTTCAGGATGGCCCATCGAACCCTTCCGTTCACGACAAGTCGCTTGTTGGCCTTGCGCACACCTGTCGCGCGTCACATGCGCAAGCGGGGACCGCTTCCTCGTGCGGACGTCAGCGGGGAGGCGATGTTGTCCAGGCCTCTAAACAGTAGCTCTTCATGGGGCCGCCCTGCGTCCCAGCAGCGGCAAGCACGGGTTTATGAAGTTCGTTGCCGCGACCTGCCTTAAAGATTCAATTGTCATACCCATAGAGTTTGGGTTTGGGCAGAAATCTTCCCATCCTTGAGGAGATGGCCTCGTCCAGGGAGTCATTCGGTCGGGACGTTGACCGTGGGTAGAGTTTTTTTGGCTTCGGGTGGTCGGGTCCACCTTATTAGTCAGGAACGCCGCGTAGAGGCAAGACCGTTGCGGATACCACCATTGGGACCTGCACTCACTGACTCGCACACCTTTTCCCACAGGAAATCATTCTGCCTCAAAATTTCTATCCAACCCCTTTCTCGATCTCTCTATTGGAACCTCTGTTAAGCAATCATCCTTCATTCACTCCATTACTGACTAACTCATTCACTCGATCACTGACTAACTCATTCACTCGATCACTGACTAACTCATTCACTCGATCACTAACTCACTCACTCGATCACTAACTCATTCACTTGACAACTGACTAACTCACTCACTCGATCACTTACTCATTCACTCGATCACTAACTCATTCACTTGACTACTGACTAACTCACCATCTCGATCACTAACTCATTCACTCGATCACTAACTCACCATCTCGATCACTAACTCACCATCTCGATCACTAACTCACCATCTCGATCACTAACTCACCATCTCGATCACTAACTCACCATCTCGATCACTAACGCATTCACTTGACCACTGACTAACTCATTGACACACATTCACATCTTCATTCCCGCTCACTTTCTTTCTCTCTGTACATTGCACTAATCCCGGCCTTTATCCCTCTCTCTCTCTCTCTCTCTCTCTCTCTCTCTCTCTCCTTCTCTCTCTCTCTCTCTCTCTCCTTCTCTCTCTCTCTCTCTCTCTCTCTCTCTCTCTCTCTCTTTTTTTTTATTTATGTACACACACTCACATCTTCACTCCCGCTCTCTCTCTTTCTCTCTGTACATTGCACTCATCCCGCCCTTTATCTCTCTCTCTCTCTCTCTCTCTCTCTCTCTCTCTCCCTCTCTCTCTCTCTCTCTCTCTCCTTCTCTCTCTCTCTCTCTCTCTCTCTCTCTCTCTTTCTCAGTAATTTCATTTATGTAGCTAAATTATTGACTGAATATTCTGAAATAAAAATGCATAACTTAAATAAAATACAAATTCTGAAGCAGACAAGTTCTAATAGAGAATAATTTGCTCTTATTTCTGTCCTAGTTCAGACGGAGTTGTCCCCACTTGGTATCCGCTTGCCAGACAACGCCTGCTTGCATGACAACGCCTGCTCGCATGTAAGGGACAGGGTGTGGCCTCCTGATAAATGATGATTAATTGCTGTTGTTGTTATTGTTGATCTGGTGTAAGGTAGTGCATCCGTCACTTACCTCTCTTAATGCATGTTAATATATGCAGCTATGTAAATTATTGTTTTAGAAATAATTAGGTTTCTTTAACATGGGGACTTGGGGGTTTTATCTCTTAATTTTATTTAAGCAGCCACCTGCACCCCACCCCCCCCCAACCTTTTTTTTTTCGGTCACAAAATTCATCGATTACATTCAATGAGTTATGTTTAAGGAACATTTTCATCTATAAATCAATCAATTTACTTAGCTGCCCTGTATATAATAATAATAATTAGTGGTCTTATATAGCGCGGTACCCAGCCTAGGACTGTGCTCACCGCACTGTATATAAAAAAATATTAGCAAAAGAGACATACTCATGACATTAAAATCAAATAAGTTTATGAAATAAAGAACAGCGTGTAACCAAAAAAAAAAAGATGTATATTCACCCACCCCACCCCAGAACTTTTACAAGGCAAACCATGGACGGAAGCCAGCAGGATCGTTTATCGGTCAGAGGAAGGGAATCAGTCAGGGTAGTATAGTTGAAATAAGATGTGTTTTGAGTGCAGTTTTGAAGGCCTGGGTGGTTGGTATATTGCGGATGTGAAGGTGGAAAAAAATTCCATTGTTTGGGGGCGCAGAAAGAGAAAGATGTTTTAGTGTGTGTCTTGGGAATGGACAGAATACGCGTGTATGCGGAGGAGCGAAGCTGTCGAAAGGGTGAATAGACAGAAAGAAGTTCGGTTAGATAGGAAGGGCAGGAATCCGAGAAAAAGTTGTGGTAGAGAACAGACAACTTGTAGTCAATGCGTGCCTGTATAGTGAGCCAATGAGTTTTGGTAAACCTGACAGAAGAGAGTTGCGATGGTCAAGACGAGAGAGAAAAAGAGCACAGACTAGAGATTTTGTAGCGCTAACTTTAAGGTAGTGGCGGATGGAGCTGATCTAACGGATAGCGGTGTATGCCGAACGACAAATGTGAGATATGTGTTTATCGAGAGACATGTTGTTAGAAATAATATAGCCAAGATTCTTAGCAGAGGGTGTAAACTGTATGTCGGAGTTACCTACTTGAAATGAGGTGGGAAGAGTTGAGATAGAGGATGATGTGAGATTCTGATTGAGGAGTTCTTCCGTTTTGTCATCACTAAGCTTCAACTTGCTGAGTGTCATCCATGACTTGACATCATCAATGCACCCCGTAAAGTCTGGACAGCGGATTCAACAAGAGATGGATGGGTATGCATGTATAGCTGTGTATCATCTGCAAATGACTGGCTCTCATCAGCATGCCTCCCAAGCAAGAGGAGCAGTGGTCTGGTATACAATGTGAATAGAATCGGGCCTAAAACAGACCCCTGTGGTACTCCATACACCAAATCAGCACTGCCTGAGAGACAGCCATCGACAGAGACCGCCTGCGTTCTATCAGAGAGGTAGGACCTAAACCAAGCCAAAACTGAACCAGAAATTCCAAAGTAATTTTCAAGGGTTTTGAAAAGGATTTCATGGTCAACAGTGTCAAAGGCCGCACTGAGGTCTAAGAGGATCAGGATGGAGACATTACCGCTGTCCATTGCGCGCAAGAGGTCATTACTGACTCTCAAGAGAGCTGTCTCTGTTCTGTGGAAATGTCTATAGGCCGACTGATTAGAACTGAGAAGAGAGTGGTCAATTAAATAAGCAAAAATTTATTTTAGAACTAGTTTTCAATTACTTTAGATAAAAATGCTAAGTTAGATGCAGGTCTATAATTTTTTAAATTATTTTCATCCAGACCGGGCTTCTTAAGCAATGGTTTGATGACAGCTGATTTGCAAAGAGGCGGAACAGTGCCAGAATATAAGCTTTCATTTAGTATGCGGGTTATCGTTGGGAGCAAGATATCTAATGACTCAAGCAACAGGGGGGTTGGGATGGGATCCAAAGAACATGACGCATGTTTAGATTTTAAAATTATACTTTTGACCTCAAGCTCTGAAACAGGTTTGAAAATATTGAATTGTGAAGTAAGACAAAGAAAAGGAGGCTATTCAAGGAGCGGCACATCAAGACGATAAAGCTCAGCGCGAATGCCAGCAACTTTGCTTGTAAAGAAATCACAGAAAATATCTGGTTGCTGTGGCAAAGGACACACCGAAGGAAGAGCAGTTCCTTTGTTGCTCCCTCTAAGGTGACTGCAAACATCAAACAACTGGCTGCTGGTTTTACCCATAGTTATCTTTTGGCTAAAATGCGTAGTCTTGGCACGACAAACAATCTGATTGACACGCTTCTTGGAATCCGAAAAGATCTGCTTAAACTCCACAAGACCTTGACCTTAACCACTTCTCTTCTGCACTGAGCGCCAATTTTATTGAACAATCCTGAAATATGGATGCCTCCTAGTTGGACAACGTGTACCAGGCCAAATCTAGGTTGGACATAACTCAAACGTTCCATGTTGTAATCTGGGTTACTGAGTCATAAATTGACCAACTGAGTCATAAATTGACCAACTTAGTTGACCAACTGAGTCATAAGTTGACTAACTGAGTCAGCTGACCAACTGCGTCATGTTGACAAAATAGCCAAAAAATGACTAACAAAGTCATAATGTGATCAACTGAATCATAAATTGACCAAGATCAACTGAATCATAAATTGACCAAGATCAACTGAATCATAAATTGATCAACTAAGGCATAACTTGACCAACTGAGTCACAAATTGACCAACTGAATCATGTTGACCAACTGAGTCATAAATTGACCAACTGAGTCATAATCTAACCAACTGATTCATTTATTGACCAACTCAGCCATTAATTGACCAACTGAGTCATGTTGACCAACGGTGTCATAAATTGACCAACTGATGTCATAAATTGACCAAATGAGTCATAATTGACCAACTGAGTCATAAATGTACCAACTGAGTCATAAGTTGACCAACTGAGTCATGTTTAAAAACTGAGTCATAAATTGACCCACTGAGTCATAAATTGACCAACTGGGTCATAAATTGACCAACTGAGTCATATGTTGACCGACTGAGGTCAAATATGACCATCTGAGTTATGTGTTAGTCAACTGAGTCATATGTTGACCAACAAGAGTCATATTGATATGTTAGCAACCAGCAACCTTTCATAACAGACACAGAAAATCTGTGGGAGAAATGTCAAGATGACAATGGTGGCGTGATATGAAGGTTCTAAATTTGCTCACTGCTTTAAAATCCTATAATTCTCATAATCTATCAGCCCACCCCCATGACCCATCTTGTGAGAATGGCTGATGTTAATTTGCTGCGTGTAGTTTTTTGAGTCGATTTATGACTGGAGTAGTCATGGCTGGAATAGTTATGGCTGGGGTAATCATGGCTGGAGTTGTTACATAGTATTCACGTTAAGTATTTTTTTTTTTTTTTTATTTCGGCCCAATTTGAAACATTTGCATTTGACGCTTTTCTCACCCGAACTAGATCAGTTGAGATGTGATGAGAATGGACATGATCGGTTGCCCCCTCAGTGGTTTGGGGGATGGGGGTTGGCCGTGCTTTAAAGGTAACAACAAACATTGAGTTGTTTATTAGAATGAATGCTTTTTAAGGGGGTATAAGTTTAACTTTGATCATTTTATAGATAGATATTTTGACGATAAATTTATTATTAGATCGATATTTTCATGCTCAATATTAAATCGATAGATATTTTGTTGATCAATTTATTATTAGATAGATATTTTGATGATCAATTTGTTATTAGATAGATATTTTGATGAGCTGTTCAAATATTATATATCTTTGGATTCTTCCGACTATCAAAAATAACTTTAGATTCATATTCTCGATTCTCTTCATTGTATAATTCTCTGGTGATAGTTGAGATTATGATAATCTATTGTTTGAGGATTTTTCTCACAATTCTGAGAACCTTTTTACACTATAATATATGTGAAACGTATGATATTTATAGCGGTAAATATTCCCAGTGACTAGAATTTGTTGACGCTGAAAGATATGCTGAAAATTACCCTCTACAAAAAATAGCACCAAAATGCCGTACAACTTAAAAAATAAAATTAGACTTTAAATGTCATATTGGACAAATCCAAAATTTAAATGTCATATATGACAAATGCAACATTAATTGTCATATTGGACAAGGCCAACATTAAATGCCATTTTGGACATAGCCAACATTAAATACCATTGGTTGTCTATCTTTGGCCTGGAGAGTTATTGCTAATCTTGTGTATGCCTGGTGTATTCATTAATTAAACGTGGATTTGTTATTTGTATGGTGGTGAATTTATTCGATTCATTAAATTATGTTTCCATTATGGATTGGTTTCAGGCATTCGCTTTTTGTTTCAGACATCTGCTAATTATTTTATCAGAACTGAAGAAAGAACCCAAATAATGGATGATTTACAGCAAACAAGATTTCTGCTCATTAGCATTCTCTTAACAATTATGCATATAATCTAACTGGGGGAAATGGAAAGGGAGGGGTGGGGCTTCATTACCACAACGATGTAACACAGTCTTTTAGCATAAGATGAATTTTCAGTTGATAAAATTTGCATCATTCTCTGGCAGACCAGTCAGTCAGCATCTTATGTCCTTAAGGTTGGAGGGTTGCTCTGTCCGCATTTGGGGGAGGCAATCGCCAGCTTGATTACTTAACCCACGTGAGTTGGTCTCCTAGAGTTACCGCCCAGTGTCCGCAAGTAAGTGAAGGCCAGTTCCAGCCGTCAAACCGTTGGTGACCCGATTGTTGGATTTAACGGCCCTGATCTTTGGGACTCTTAGTGCGGTCAAAGCTGCTGAGACAGACTGTTACGTCACAGCCAGCTCAACATCTGGTAATTTTTTAATTCTACTGCACAAAATTAATGTGTGAGTATTAGTATGCTGCATAGTAGATGTGTGTCACAGTTAATTTTTTTTTTTTGTATAGAATTATAGAAGACCACTGTAACAATAATAATTATTATTTCACTAGAGCAGTGTAACATAGGAATAAAAAACATTGTCTCATCAATAGTTTTATTCTTCACTAAGACGAGGTAAATGAAGAAGGAACATTTCAATGGATTCTAATTTTAAGTTGTTTTTTTGTTTGTGTTTTTTTTTTTAATGTTGTTCGTCAGTCGGCAGTCGACCATGACCACTTTAATCATCAGAGTTTGTGCTGGTTCTGTCTGTGGGTGCGCAGATGGCTCATGAGGCAAGAAATTATCTTGTGCAGTAGGTGCAAGGGAATGATGGTGCATCTCCGGGAGCAGAGTCAGACCGGGCATTCCTTGCACGTCTCTTGCGCTCTGCAGCCGCTGTTCTGCCAAATTCATGTTGCATGGAGCTCCCGTGCAAAGTGGAACGCCATGAAGTTCGATCCTTTGCTTGTTCCTCCCACGTGTCTTGGTTTATGTTGAACGCTTTCAGTGAGGCTTTTATCTTGTCTTTAAAGCGTTTTTTCTGTCCACCAGCAGACCGCTTTCCTTGTTCAAGCTCACCATAGAAAGTTCTTTTAGGAAGACGTGGTCATCTGACATTCTTAAAACATGTCCTGTCCAGCGAAGCTGGGACTTCATTAAGATGTTGAAGATCCCGGGGAGACCTGCCCACGTGAGCACCTCAGTGTCTGGGACCCTGTCCTGCCATTTAATGTTGAGGATTTTTCTGAGTCTTGTTGTATGAAAGTGGTTCAACATTCTTGCATGGCGTTGGTAGACCGTCCACGTTTCACAGGCATAGAGAAGCGTATAGAGAACAGCCGAGAGAAGCGTAGGGAGAACAACCCCCTGATATACTTTCAGTTTAGTTTGAGTGTTGGTACCTCTCCTGGTCCATACGTTTTTAGTCAATCTTCCATAGGTTGCGCTGGCTCTCGCAATACGGAGATTAACCTCGTCATCGATGGTTGTGCTTTGGGACAGTGTGCTGCCGATACAGGTGGTCCTTGGTGGTATCTGTCAGGACTTTCGTTTTGGCATGTAGCCTCTTGGGATTGAATAGATTGCGGTCAGTTCGGTATCTGGGGCCAATTCCAGCGTCTCTCTCTCTGAATGCATCGGTCAGCATTGCGGAAAACATGAGGCTGAAAAGTGTTGAGGCAAGTACACAACATTGTTTCACCGTTTATTACCGGGAATGGTTTGACGTCTCCCCATTATCCCGAGTTCTAGCCTGCCTACCTTCATGGAATAGTCGTACCATTGACACGAACTTTCTGGGGCATCCTTATTTGGCCATGATCTTCCAAAGGCCCTCTCTACAGACAGTGTCGAAAGCTTTGGTCAGGTCTACAAAGGTTAAAGAAGTCAACATTTTGTTCCCTGCACTTTTCCTGTAGCTGTCTGGCTGCAAACACACCATATCGATGGTTCCTCGTTCCTTCCGGAAGCCACATTGATTTTCTGGCAGTAAACCGTTTTCAAGATGCCTGTTAAGACGATTTAGCAAGATTCTGGCTAATATCTTCCCTGCAGTTGAGAGCAATGATATGCCACGGTGGTTGTCGCACGTTTGAAGGTTTCCTTTATGCTTGTACTGGTGAACAATAGATGCATCTTTGAAGTCTTGTGGAATGATCTCTTGCTGCCACAAAAGTATGACCAGCTGGTGAAACCTGTCAGGCAGAGCTGTCCCGCCCCCCCCCCTTCTTTGTATACTTCAGACGGGATTGAGTCATCACCTGATGCTTTGCCGCTTGAAAGAAGGCATATTGCATGTTTCGTTTTTTTTAATCTGTAACAGTCGAATCTAAATGATTACATTTTTTTATATAGCTGGTTTTTGTTTTGTTTCGTCTATTCTTCAAATATTTTTTACCACGTAATTAATCAAATTCTAAAAATTAAATACATATCTGAAGAAAAAGCACTGGTATTATTGCCGTTACTTGGTATGTAAGCTCATATGTTTAATTGTTTTGATTTCATTTGATAAAAGTACATTGTGGTCGTTGCACCAGTAACGAAGTTTATATTTACAGAGAGTGGTGAACGCGTCAAGCGCAAATAATGATGACGTCACTTCTATTGTTATCATGTTGTTGCCTGAGTCTTGCCATGTCGCAGAGTAAGTAGGTCACGCCTCAACTGGTCGTAGGTTCACAACATGCGCACCAACAATTGTTTACCCCGTCTTACAGCCGTAGGGCCTTGTTTCTCAGTCCGTGGGAGAGTATAGAAGTGAGGGTGTGGGGGGACTTGGGAAGTGTGTGTGTTGTGAGAAGGAGAGTGATAGCGTATGGAGTTAACAACAATACATAAATTGTCTTTCGTTAAAAGACACGGAAATGTTTATTTTGTATTTGTTGTTCTGTTAGGTATGGAGTAAATCCTTAAGATAAACACTGGCAAAACACTGGCAAAACACTGGCAAAACACTGGCAAAACACTGGCTTATTCGTACAAACTTAAATCATGTTGACTCAACCAGGAACATTTTTTTTTCTTTTAGCTTCATCACTCCTAAAATTCTTAAATGATTCTAAGTTCTTACAATTAAGGAAAATTCCCTTATTAAGCAAACAAAACTTGAAAGATTGACTATGTCTTAAATGTGTCAATATTGTGGGGCTGACAGCGATGTCAGTGATAACGAGATTAGATACCTAATAGCAGTGGCGTAGCTAGGGATTGGGGGGGGGATTTGGGAGCTGGGGGGCTTGGCCTCTTTAGGGGCCCCTGCATTTTGACATTCGACATTACTTAATGAAAAAAACATTCGTCACGCCTTTGAGCCCCCCCCCCCAAGTAGGGGCCCGGGGGGACTTTTTGAATTTGGACCCCCCTCCCCTAGCTACGCCACTGCCTAATAGAGGACTTGACATATTAAATAGATCCTTTCTTTAGTTAGGTTTCATCCGTCCTGTGCCATAAATCCATCCAATTTTAACAATAAATCCATTCAATTTTAACAATAAATCCATCCAATTTTAACAATAAATCCATCCCATTTTAACAAAAAATCCATCCAATTTTAACAATAAATCCATCCCATTTTAAAAATAAATCCATCCCATTTTAACAATAAATCCATCCAATTTTAACAATAAATCCATTCAATTTTAACAATAAATCCATCCCATTTTAACAATAAATCCATCCCGTTTTAACAATAAATCCATCCAATTTTAACAGTAAATCCATCCCATTTTAACAATAAATCCATTCAATTTAAACAATAAATCCATCCCAATTTAAGAATAAATCCATCCAATTTTAACAATAACTCCATCCAATTTTAACAATAAATCCATCCCATTTTAACAATAAATCCATTCAATTTTAACAATAAATCCATCCAATTTTAACAATAAATCCATCCAATTTTAACATAAATATATCCAATTTTAACAATAAATCCATCCAATTTTAACATAAATCTATCCAATTTTAACAATAAATCCATCCAATTTTAACAATAAATATATCCAATTTTAAAAATAAATCCATCCAATTTTAACAATAAATCCATCCCATTTTAACAATAAATCCATTCAATTTTAACAATAAATCCATCCAATTTTAACAATAAATCCATCCAATTTTAACATAAATCTATCCAATTTTAACAATAAATCCATCCAATTTTAACGTAAATCTATTCAATTTTAACAATAAATTCATCCAATTTTAACAATAAATCTATCCAATTTTAACATAAATCTATCCAATTTTAACAATAAAGCCATCCAATTTTAACAATAAATCCATCCAATTTTAACATAAATCTATCCAATTTTAACAATAAATCCATCCAATTTTAACAATAAATATATCCAATTTTAACAATAAATCCATCCAATTTTAACAATAAATCCATCCCATTTTAACAATAAATCCATTCAATTTTAACAATAAATCCATCCAATTTTAACAATAAATCCATCCAATTTTAACAATAAATCCATCCCGTTTTAACAATAAATCCATCCAATTTTATCAGTAAATCCATCCCATTTTAACAATAAATCCATTCAATTTAAACAATAAATCCATCCAATTTTAACAATAAATCCATCCCGTTTTAACAATAAATCCATCCAATTTTATCAGTAAATCCATCCCATTTTAACAATAAATCCATCCAATTTTAACAATAAATCCATCCAATTTTAACAATAAATCCATCCAATTTTAACAATAAATCCACCCCATTTTAACAATAAATCCATCCAATTTTAACAGTAAATCAATCCCATTTTAACAATAAATCCATTCAATTTAAACAATAAATCCATCCCAATTTAAGAATAAATCCATCCAATTTTAACAATAACTCCATCCAATTTTAACAATAAATCCATCCAATTTCATCAATAAATCCATCCCGTTTTAACAATAAATCCATCCAATTTTAACAGTAAATCCATCCCATTTTAACAATAAATCCATTCAATTTAAACAATAAATCCATCCCATTTTAACAATAAATCCATCCAATTTTAACAATAAATCCACCCCATTTTAACAATAAATCCATCCAATTTTAACAGTAAATCCATCCCATTTTAACAATAAATCCATTCAATTTAAACAATAAATCCATCCCGTTTTAACAATAAATCCATCCAATTTTATCAGTAAATCCATCCCATTTTAACAATAAATCCATCCAATTTTAACAATAAATCCATCCAATTTTAACAATAAATCCATCCAATTTTAACAATAAATCCACCCCATTTTAACAATAAATCCATCCAATTTTAACAGTAAATCCATCCCATTTTAACAATAAATCCATTCAATTTAAACAATAAATCCATCCCCTTTTAACAATAAATCCATTCAATTTAAACAGTAAATCCATCCCATTTTAACAATAAATCCATTCAATTTAAACAATAAATCCATCCCGTTTTAACAATAAATCCATTCAATTTAAACAGTAAATCCATCCCATTTTAACAATAAATCCATCCCAATTTAAGAATAAATCCATCCAATTTTAACAATAAATCCATCCCATTTTAACAATAAATCCATTCAATTTAAACAATAAATCCATCCCAATTTAAGAATAAATCCATCCAATTTTAACAATAACTCCATCCAATTTTAACAATAAATCCATTCAATTTTAACAATAAATCCATCCAATTTTAACATAAATATATCCAATTTTAACAATAAATCCATCCAATTTTAACATAAATATATCCAATTTTAACAATAAATCCATCCAATTTTAACAATAAATCCATCCGATTTTAACAATAAATCCATCCAATTTTAACAATAAATCCATCCGATTTTAACAATAAATCCATCCAATTTAAACAATAAATCCATCCGATTTTCATTGGAAATAACAATTTTAATTTGAATTAAAAACTATTTCTTTATTCTTTATGTTAATTTAAGTTTGTTTTGTGTTTTCAGAGATGAGCCATATTCTAATGAACATGGTGGCTCAGGACCCATACGCCAGAAACATGATGCGGCTGCCGTTATTCCAGGAACTTTTTGACATTGAGATCCCACCGACCAGTGAACCTAGTGCAAAACAACTAGGGGTGGCGAGTCTTTTTGGAATGGCGGGTAACGGGATATTTGGTGGTCCATCGGCGGGGGGTAACGCGCCCCGTGCACCACCCACCGGAAGTTCTACACCAAGCCAATCACAGACCAGTGAAGGTATGTTAGGAGCATCTTCATGGGACAGAAGCGGCTTCGGGTCTGGCCAGCCCGTAGGTAGAGTCACGGGGCCTTCTCAGTTTGACGGGGGCTATCAGATGACCGGAAGTGTGCCTGACACATCTCAGAATGGTCCCCCACAACTGGGAGGCAGTTTAACGTGGCCACAACAAAATAATGGACGCTCGTTCGGCAGCTCTCCAGTAGGAAATGGTTTGAACTGGCCTCCGACAGTGCCGTCAAATTCACAGATGGGGGGAGGTAACCAAATGACATGGCCCCAGCAACCATCAGGGAATCAACAAATGGGGGATGGCAGCTCCTGGCCTCCACAAATGGGAGGTGTCATAGCATGGCCACCATTCGGAGGTAATATGCCAGGAAATCAACAAATGGGAAACAACATACCTGGAAATGCTCAACCCCAATGGCCTGCACAAATTGGAAGTAATCAGCAGCTAGGCTATCCTGCCAACCAGGGGAATTCTCAACCCACATGGCCTTCCCAGATGGGTGGTAATACGCAAAGTGGCAACCCTTCCAACCAGAGAAATTCTCAACCCACATGGCCTTCCCAAAGTAATGCGCAAAGTGGCAACCCTCCAAACCAGGGAAATGCTCAACCCCAGTGGCCTGCGCAAATGGGAGGCAATCAGCAGATGGGCAACCCTCCAAACCAGGGAAATGCTCAACCCCAGTGGCCTGCGCAAATGGGAGGCAATCAGCAGATGGGCAACCCTCCAAACCAGGGAAATGCTCAACCCCAGTGGCCTGCGCAAATGGGCGGCAATCAGCAGATGGGAAACCCTTCGAATCAGGGAAATGCTCAACCCCAGTGGCCTGCGCAAATGGGAGGCAATCAACAAATGGGAAATGGTGTTCCTGAAAATAATAACCCGATATGGAGTGGCATGGCAAGGCCACCTAACACGGGCGATAGTATGCAAGGGAACAATCAAATGGTTGGTTCCATGCCAGGGAACCCTCAAATGGGTGGCCCTATGCCAGGCAACAATCAAATGGGTGGCGCCATGCCAGGGAACAATCAAATGGGTGGCCCCATGCCAGGGAACGCTCAAATGGATGGCTCTATGCCAGGAAACAACCAAATGGGTGGCCCCATGCCAGGGAGCAACCAAATGGGTGGCCCCATGCCAGGGAACAACCAAATGGCTGGGCCCATGCCAGTAAACAATCATATGGGTGGCCCCATGCCAGGTAACAACCAAATGTCCAGTTCTCCTCCATATGGAATATCTTCCAACACGCGTCCAAAGATCCCCTTAGATTTCATAGTGCAGCTCTATAACACAGCATCCAATCCTACACAAGGTGAACCTACATCTGGCAACTCAGCTATGGAAGGTCAGGTGTCACAAACAGACCCCTCCACAATGGCCAGTTTTTCTAACACACCCAGACAACCTCGGGCTGTCATACAGGCAGGTCAGGTCATTCTTCCAAAGGGACCACCTTCACGGAACTTCATTGACAGACTTATGGCCCTTGGTGGTGCTGAAGGCATTGAAATTGTCTAAATACACTCAGCTTGTTCTGATAGAACATGAGCGCAACTTGTAGATATTAAAGACATGGTTCATATGAGATTGTGTTTATAGTTTGTATATAGTCATGTACAATTGTATGTATGTGTTGAAAAATGTCATCCTTGAGTGATATTTCGACCAGTATGTTTGTGTGTATCACGAGGTCCCTATTTATTTTTAGGATCTTTGTTACGAATAAAAATAATCACTATATGAGACTGTAATAATAAGTTGTCTCAGAAAAGTTAATTTTCTTTGCTCTCTGTTTCTGTCGAAGACTTTCAGCCGATACGTACGCTGTTTTGTCTCGTCTGTCTGCGGTTTTCTCTAGCCCCGTGTGTTATGTTTCTGACTCTCGGTAAGTATAAAATATCTTTGACATAATCTCTAGATAAAATAGTTTCATTTAAAATGACCATATTAAAATAATAAGCAGTGAAGTCGAGCCGGTCTGGACTGTGGCATGTCGACAATATGGGGCGTGCCATCAATATGAGGCGTGTCAACAATATGGGGCGTGCCATCAATATGGGGCGTGTCAAAAATATTTTGGGCGCGTCATCAGTTTGGGGCATGTCAATAATATGGGGCGTGTCATCAATATGGGGCGCGTCAACAATTTATGGCGTGTCAACAATGTAGGGCGTGTCAACAATATAGAGCGTGTCAACAATATAGAGCGTGTCAACAATAAGAATAATGATAACTTTTATCTAGTTTGAGATGTCAAATTATAAATGATTTAATCTGGTTCTCTTGCAATTAAAATAATTTCTGTCAAACTTTATGCACCCTATTAACGCACCAATCTTCATGCGCGTAAACAAATATTCTTTTAAAAAACTAAACTCTAAACAACGAATGATGTAACGTCTGTTTAAGTATTTATTTACAAACTTAGACATACAAGACACATCAGAACACGGGACGGTAACAAATAAACTAAAACAGTTTGTACAAAGTTACCGTTCCTGGTAATTTCAAAAGAATGTGCCACTGGAAACGAATGTTGGTTCTGAACACTAAAAATATTATTATTGAAAATAATAATATATAACGTTTCTGAAACGTGCATTTTTTAAAGAATATGCTTCATATCTGCATTCCATGTCAATCATATCATGTTGACAATCATTGAAAGAAATGATTTTTAAAAAAATTAATAACAGGCGTTATATTAAGCTTTGATTCGAAGTATATCTTTCGTTTTTTTTTTATACTAGTTTAAAATTTAAAAAAAAAAAAAAAAAATAAAATAAAAAAAAAAAAAAAAACAACAAAAAAATTAATAACAGGCGTTATATTAAGATTTGATTCGAAGTATATCTTTTGTTTTTTTTTTATACTAATTTAAAATTTAAAAAAAAAAAAAGAATAAAATATGAATAAAATAATATACAACAAAGCATTACTACCACGTACGTCGGACATATAAATTTATGTACCAGGTATATACTAAATCACATAAAAATATAAATGAAAGATATTTTTTATCGGAATGGCAGAACGTAAGACTAACACTGGCTTTGATAATACAGTAAATATATATTTAAAAAAAACCACAAAACTCTTTTCTATGTGGCTCTTGTTCTGACAAAATGTTCATTGAGTTGAATTCATCTCATTAGAAAATATATTCATTCATCATATAGGCTCCAAACAGGTTACCAGCTGCACCGCCAAAAGCATTATCGCCACCGGAACTTGTTCCAGGTCGAGTCCCGTAGTAAGCGTCCAGTAATGAGGCCGGCTGGTGTTGTCCACCTGGTGAGTACATAATTAGTCGTTCTTAAAATCTACTTTAGGGATTGATTAGCTACAGATTATTAGGATATTACAAAACAGTTTGTTCGGAGGTGGTGTAAGGAGGAGGTCAGGACAATGTTTAAAGATGTTCCTATGAGTTCCATATCTCCACATGTTTAAGGATGTTCCAATGTGTTTAATACATCCACAATTTTTAAGCATATTCCTGTGATAATCATATTTCCAATGTTTAATGATGTTCCTGTGAGTTCCAAATTTCTAAAAGTTTAAGGATGTTCCTATGTCTTACCTATCTCAAATGTTTAAGGATGTTCCTATGTCTTACCTATCTCAAATGTTTAAGGATGTTCCTATGTCTTACCTATCTCAAATGTTTAACGATGTTCCTATGTCTTACCTATCTCAAATGTTTAAGGATGTTCCTATGTCTTACCTATCTCAAAATGTTTTAGGATGTTCCTATGTCTTACCTATCTCAAATGTTTAAGGATGTTCCTATGTCTTACCTATCTCAAATGTTTAAGGATGTTCCTATGTCTTACCAATCTCAAATGTTTAAGGATGTTCCTATGTCTTACCTATCTCAAATGTTTAAGGATGTTCCTATGTCTTACCTATCTCAAATGTTTAAGGACGTTCCTATAAGTTCCATAACTTCAAATGTTGAAGGATGTTTCTATGTGTTCCATGCTTCAAGATGTTAAACAAGTGTTCTTCCTCCATGTTGATTTTTTTTTTCTTTTCGCTGGAAGGATGGGGCAGTTATCAGAGCAGTTATCGGAGCAGTTATCGGGGCATCACTCGTAACATTTTTAAAGGACCAGGTTAGGATTAATGCATCATTTGACTACTTTGCTTAAAATGTGTAGGTTTCCCTCATGCATAAAATGTGTAGGTTTCCCTCATGCATGAAATGTGTAGCTTTCCTCTTGCATGAAATGTGTAGGTTTTCCTCATGCATGAAATGTGTAGCTTTCCTCTTGCTTGAAATGTGTAGGTTTTCCTCATGAATAAAATGTGTCGCTTTCTCTCATGTATTAAATGTGTAGCTTTCCTCTTGCTTGAAATGTGTAGGTTTACCTCTAGCATGTAGAGGTTTCCGTCGTACATGAGTTGCGTAGGTTTCTCTCATGTATGAATTGTGTAGGTTTGCCCCTAGCAAGAAATGAGTAGATTTCTCTGCTGCATGAAATGTCTAGGTTTTTGTCGTGAATTAATGTGTATTTTTCTGTCGTGCATGAATGTGTATGGTTTCCACTCACATGAAATGTGTAAGTTTTCCTCTTGCATGAATATTGTATGTCCCCCACCCCCCCCCCCCCCCCCCCCCCCCCCC